TAATATTTTTCGAGTTCTATCGATGTCGCGAACTGATGAAACTCGAACACTGTTCTACAATTAAGTTATGATGAATAATTCAAATAGAATTATTTCCAAAAACGTTTTTCGCTGAATATTTTTTGTTCTTTTGTCATTTCGAGTTAAACCGATTCGTGATTTACATATAAATCTGTCCAATATCTCTACCAAGTTATGTTAGCTCTCAACAAATTGAAACTATTTTTCAAAAGGAGAGTAACTGTTTCTCTTTCACAAATATATTTTCTTCTAAACCTATTGTATTTGTACTGACCTGGTGGAAATCGTGTTCCACTAATAACATTCATACTAGCCGCATCCATATCGACCAACATATTTCCGTTTTGGATCCACATACTATCAAATAGTTCACAATCAGAAGTTGATCGATAAAAAGTTGCTGCTATGCATTGACTTTCAGCTAAACATGCTACTTGGCAGTTTCTAATGTTTGATGTAATAATGCTAATGAATGGCAAACAAGTTGTATTCGCACATTGAAACTTGGAATCAGTCATTAAAGACATTATCGTTGATCGTATATCTTGTGCGATTGATTGAGTGATAATCATAAATAACAGCCATAAACAAACTTTTGTTGAAGCCATCACCAACTAGACTGTGAGTTGATGAAATGAATTTAGCTCATAATAGAAAAGAAAGTATATTTTGTTGAGCAATGTATTCTATTTTTGTTTTGTTTGTTTCTTTCTCTCTTTTTTTCTCAGTTTATTTGATCAATCTAATGAAAAATCAATTCTGACTTTTTTCTTATTTTGAAAATAATTTTTCCGTTCTGACGGATGGCTCTCCTGTATTTAAATGTTATTTGAAAATTATATACTTATAAATGAATGATCGAATTAGCTGTTTGACTACATAAGAATGCTAAAACAAGCTCTACAATCTTCTTAACTCAAACTCACTGCAATTGGGGTTTTGAGTGTTTATGACATACAGTATAATTACACTTCAAAAATCTCTCATTTGTTCTGCAGTCGTATCGTTTCTATTGTTGTGTTTCTGACTGATAGGAGAATTTTATGGCTTGTAATTGAATAGGTAATTACATTTTTCTTTGTTAATGTGAAAAACGATTCAAACAGTTACGATTAATGTCTATGTAGAATAATGTTAATTCAGAACAAAACAAGCAGTTTTTTTTAGTGTTCTAAAATAATTCTTTATCACAGCGACACGTTCAGAACTCTTTTTTGCCTCGTTGAGAAATATCCATGCAGTAAATATTTACCTTATTTTTCTGCCTTCTTCTTTCATTATTTTACTGTTATGATGTGTTGTGTATTTTGTATGCAAAAGAAGAAAAAAATTAATTGAAAAGTTTTTTCAATTTTTCTTTAGTAAATATTTCTCGGTTATAATCACAATAACAAAAACTTTGTTTAATTTATAATAAAAATTAAATGTTAATAAATAATTACGGTAACAAATGTCAACTTTCTGAGAAAAGAAAACAGTATCTACTCGATTACATTAGAAAAACCATCAAATTACAGTGTCAATTTGAAAAGAAGTTATAGAGAATAAAAAGCCATACTCTACGAATGTCCAGAATTATTCATGCATGAATTTCTACTTTTTTGAAAATACGATATTCAAAAAAATAGTAACAACAAATTCAAATTTCGAATTACAAAAGTGAATACATATGGGCACTTCCAGAGATTCGCAGTTTATTTGACAACTGGAACATTTTCTATAAATTTCCGCTTGAATTTTTATTTCAATAAAAACTGTGTTGTATTCGATAATAATTGAATAAGTTTTAGTATTTGTAATTGTTTGCATTTGTGTTATTGGATAGGCACCAACTGTTCCCTGAAATAGATACGACAGAACTGAATGATGGGAATTGTACAGTAATTTAAATGGTTAGTAGAGTTGCTTATCGATGTGAAGCTAGCACCACGACTAGCAAGCACCACCAAAAAAAAATTCCTATTGGCCAAAAAATTATCCAATCAGAAAAATCAAAACCATGATACACCATCATGGAGGACAAGAATTGGACTATGGTTTCCTTAGCAACCCTATTGAAAATGCATATTTACATATGTACGCGAGCAAATAACCGCAACTAATTACTTTCACAACAAAAAAATAAAAGAATATCAAACTTCTCGCCTTCTCTAAAAACTTCACACCAAACAAATATAACATCATTCACTAAACTCTACATATCACCAACAACTATGAACACACTTTTGTTCATCAAACTTTCTCCAGCAAATGTGACCTGTTCCAATCTATGTAGCATTGAGTTCTGCGTCGAATGGAGTTGTTTCCATCCCCCGGCAATATTTCTGAAGAACGAAAAATCGTCAACTATACCCCCAATCTTTTGGTTTTTAAGAAAACTCAAGATCCTTCAGGTTGATCAAAGCATTGCCGGGGAATGAGACTTGTGCCAATTAATGTAGAATTGAATTCTGCGTTAAATGAAGTTCTATCTGTGCCCCAGAATTATTTCACAGAAGAGAAAATCCCTCAGGTATATTCCCAAGCGACATGTTTTTTCCGGTTTTACAGAAAAATCATGCTCAATGGCGATCACCAAACTATTTCCGAGGCATAGAACGAGCTCCAGTCGATGTAAAATTAAATTCTTCAGCCGATAAAGTTGTCTCTATGCATTGGAGTTATCTATGACGAAGACAAATCCCTCAACTATACCTGCAAATACACGGATTTTCCATTTTTTCGTGAAAGTCAAGATCTTTTAAGTGAATCAAAGGTTTTCCGAGGAAAGAAACCAGTCGCAAGCGATGTACAATTGAGTTCTGCAGCGAATGGAACAGGTTTCATTCCCCGGAAACACTTTCATTTAGTGAAAAGGTGTTGATTTTACGGGAAGAACGAAACAATCTAGGGTAGTTGTGGGTATACCTGAGGGATTTTCTTGTTTTAGAAATAATTCCGAGACATACAGACGACTTGATCCGTTGTAGAATTCAATTCTACGATGATACAGACAAGTTTCATTCCTCGGAAAAACTTTCGTTGTGCCACTGCATCTTGATTTTCCGTGAAAACACGAAGACCATGTCCGTTATGAGTCTAGTTTCGCGATTTTCTGTCTTCAAAAATAATTCCGAGCCATAGATGCAACTTCATTCGATGCAGAATTCAATTCTACATCGATTGGTACAAGTCTCATTGCCCGGCAATACTTTGATAAACGTGAAACATCATGAGTTTTTCTAAAAACCAAAAGATTGGGGGTATAGTTGACGATTTTTCGTTCTTCAGAAATATTGCCGGGGGATGGAAACAACTCCATTCGATGCAGAATTCAATTCTACATCGATAGGAAGAGTTTGTATGCTGGGGAAAACGTTGGTGAAGAAGGAATGACGGATTATATGTCGATTGTGTTTTTTGTTTGTGGTGGTGTTTATCGTTGATTTGGTGTGATTTTTGATTGAGGAATGTTTTATGCTGACTTGGTACATGGGTGGAGTAGCAGATTGTCTAAAAGTGTGTGTTGAGATTGATTTTTGATGGTATCTAAGGAGTTTTGCATGGTAATCTGTGGATATCGTGGGTATTTTATGGACGAAACCTGATTGGTTATTGTTTTTGGTGGGGCTAGCGTTTCGTGGTGCTAGCTTCACATCAATGAGTTGCTTACATGATTTAATAACAATTTTTTGGGGTGTTTGTAACGTTTTATAATCGCATGCTCCAATGTGACAAACAGTTGCTCTCCTGAAATAAAAATAAATAATGTAAATACAAAGATTGATACAACGTATTACCTTTGGTAATGTTTTCTTTTTCTTGGTTTGTTCGGACTTTTGAGCAATCTTGTACAATTTAGTTTTAATGCCTGAACAATATCACTTTCGAATGGATGTGAATCTAGATTGAGTTCACAAATAAACTGTTAATAAAAAAACGTTAAAACTAAATAGGTGTATGTATGAAATTAGGAATATTCCGTGAAGTCATTATCGAGGAGGAAGAATAAACTTTATGATACTTACGAAATTGGTAATTAACAAACCTGGATATAGTTCGATCATTTCTTTGATGGGCTTTGTCTCTTGAACAAGATATTTACGATGTAGATGTATTATATCCATTTCGGCTTCGACTTGACTATACTCTAGGGAAAATCATTAATTTTTGATAGCCTGATCCTTGACCGATCTGATTAGGATCGTGCAACGATTTATTGTTTTTTCCCCAGGGGAAACGACATCACCCTAAAAGAAGTGTGTGTGTGTGTAGAAACAGGATGAACATAATCTCTCGACCAACGCCCTAATTGATCACTAAACCGTTTGCTTGAATGAAAAAATTAGCAGTGTCACTCTCCCTAGTCTTTTCAAAAAGATTTGCCTAACAGCTGTCTTGAGGGTGAATGTAAGTATGTGATGAATGTAATATTCATAGTCACACCCATGTGGTTGAGAGCAATACGGATGATTGATATTCTTCACATCTGTATTAATATCCTTACCTTTCTTCAATGAAAACATTCATTCAGTTGTACAAGTAATGATCTGTCTTTTATTCATCATGGCTCTTTTTCAACAATCGTCATAAAATATAACTTCGAGATATTACTCCAACTCATGTATTATTTAGTGACTGATAATGTATTAAGAAATGTGAATGATTATATAGTTTGATTATATAGAAAGTTTTTATGATTAAGTTCACAAAAGAAAATGTCATTCTGTGTATATTGATTAATAGAGCTCAGCACTATTGAGATAAACGCCACTGCTTCTCGATCCACCAGTAACTAATACTTTTCCATTTACTAATGTGGATGCTGTGTGTAAATCTCGTGCGATACTCATATTTGCTGTCGTTGTCCAAGTGCCTGTTGATGGATTGTACAATTCAGCACTATTGAGATAACCACCGCTGTTCTCTCCACCAGTAACTAATACTAATCCATTTGCTAATGTGGACGCTGTGTGACGAGCTCGGGTGATACTCATGCTTCCTGTGGTTGACCAGGTGCCTGTTGATGGGTTGTACAATTCAGCACTATTCAAAAATATACCGTTGTTATATCCACCAGTAACTAATACTTTTCCATTTGCTAATATGGATGCTGTATGGTATCCTCGTACAGAATTCATGCTTCCTGTGGTTGCCCAAGTGCCTGTTGAAAGATTGTACAATTCAGCACTATTGAGATAAGTAACACCGCTGGATCCACCAGTAATTAATATTAATCCATTTGCTAATATGGATGCTGTGTGATATCCACGTCCAACACTCATGCTTCCCGCGGTTGTCCAAGTGCCTGTTGATGGATTATACAATTCAGCACTAGTGATAAAGCCAACAGTGTTCTGTCCACCAGTAACTAATACTAATCCGTTTGATAATGCGGATGCTGCATGATAATCTCGTGCAACAGTCATATATCCTGTAGTCGTCCAAGTGCCTGTTGATGCATTGTACAATTCAGCAGTAGTGAGATACATACCATTGCTCTCTCCACCAGCAACTAATACTAATCCATTTACTAATGTGGATGCTGTGTGAAAATACCGTCCGAGATTCATGCTTCCTGTGCTTGTCCAAGTGCCTGCTACTGGATTATATAATTCAGCAGTATTGAGAGTACCGCCATTGTTGTCGTATCCACCAGTAACTAATACTGATCCATTCGCTAATGTGAATGCTGTATGACCATATCGTGCGACACTCATGTTTCCTGTCATTGCCCATACTAAATAAGGCAGAAAAGTGAGAAAAAAATCCTGTTCTTAAAATGACTTCGAATATCTCGTGCGCATAAGTTGCCTATCTATTTTCGACAGATTAAACGATTTCCAACCTTCAATAAGCTTCTCTTCGTTTTTATAATTATGATAAGAATCATTATCAAATGTTAAACTAGTGTAATGAAAAATATATTAGAAACGATTTCATTGATATTTTTCGAGTTCTATCGATGTCGCGAACTTATGAAACTCAAACACCGTTCTACAATTCAGTTATAGTGAATAACCCAAATAGAATCATTTCCAAAAAAGTTTTTCGCTAAATACTTTTTGTTTTTGTCATTTTGAGTTAAACCGATTCGTGATTTACATATAAATCGGTCCAAAATCTCTATCAAGTTATGTCAGCTCTCAACAAATTGAAATTATTTTTCACAAAGAAAATAACATTTTTGCACTGTCACAAATATATTTTATTCTAAATCTGTTATTTTTATACTCACCTGGTGGAAATCGTGTTCCACCAATAACATTCATACTAGTCGCATCTACATCAGCCAACATATTTCCGTTTTGATTCAACATATTATCAAATAGTTCACAATCAGAAGTTGATCGATGAAAAGTG